GGTGAGAGAACAGGGCAGTTGATCTGAGATAACCAAATAAATGTTGGCAGTCAAGCTCGAATTTCTTCGTTGTCTTTTTTCCCCCTCCTAGGATTATTAGGCTGGCAGTTAGACAAAGCTGTAGAGGAAGCTGTAGAGGTGGCTGTAGAGGTGGCTGTAGAGGTGGCTGTAGAGGAAGCTGTAGAGGTGGCTGTAGAGGTAGCTGTAGAGGAAGCTGTAGAGGAAGCTGTAGAGGTGGCTGTAGAGGAAGCTGTAGAGGTGGCTATAGAGGTAGCTGTAGAGGAAGCTGTAGAGGAAGCTGTAGAGGTGGCTGTAGAGGTGGCTGTAGAGGACGCTGTAGAGGTGGCTGGAGAGGAAGTTGTAGAGGAAGCTGTAGAGGAAGCTGTAGAGGAAGCTGTAAAGGTGGCTGTAGAGGTGGCTGTAGAGGAAGCTGTAGAGGTGGCTGTAGAGGAAGCTGTAGAGGTGGCTGTAGAGGTGGCTGTAGAGGAAGCTCGTAGGGAAGCTGTAGGGAAGCTGTAGAGGAAGCTGTAGAGGAAGCTGTAGAGGAAGCTGTAGAGGAAGCTGTAGAGGTGGCTGTAGAGGAAGCTGTAGAGGAAGCTGTAGAGATAGCTTTAGAGGAAGCTGTAGAGGTGGCTGTAGAGGAAGCTGTAGAGGTGGCTGTAGAGGTGGCTGTAGAGGTGGCTGTAGAGGTGGATGTAGAGGAAGCTGTAGAGGTGGCTGTAGAGGAAGCTGTAGAGGAAGCTGTAGAGGTGGCTGTAGAGGAAGCTGTAGAGGTGGCTGTAGAGGAAGCTGTAGAGGTGGCTGTAGAGGTGGCTGTAGAGGAAGCTGTAGAGGTGGCTGTAGAGGAAGCTGTAGAGGAAGCTGTAGAGGTGGCTGTAGAGGTGGCTGTAAAGGAAGCTGTAGAGGTGGCTGTAGAGGAAGCTGTAGAGGTGGCTGTAGAGGTGGCTGTAGAGGTGGCTGTAGAAGCTGTAGGGAAGCTGTAGAGAAAGCTGTAGAGGAAGCTGTAGAGGAAGCTGTAGAGGAAGCTGTGGATGTGGCTGTAGAGGAAGCTGTAGAGGAAGCTGTAGAAATGGCTGTAGAGGAAGCTGTAGAGGAAGCTGTAGAGAAAGCTGTAGAGGAAGCTGTAGAGATAGCTTTAGAGGAAGCTGTACAAGTGGCTGTAGAGGAAGCTGTAGAGGAAGCTGTAGAGGAAGCTGTAGAGGTGGCTGTAGAGGTGGCTGTAGAGGTGGCTGTAGAGGTGGCTGTAGAGGAAGCTGTAGAGGTAGCTGTAGAGGAAAGTGTAGAGGAAGCTGTAGAGGAAGCTGTAGAGGTGGCTGTAGAGGAAGCTGTAGAGGAAGCTGTAGAGGAAGCTGTAGAGGAAGCTGTAGAGGAAGCTGTAGAGGAAGCTGTAGAGGTGGCTGTAGAGGTGGCTGTGGAGGTGGCTGTTGAGGTGGCTGTAGAGGAAGCTGTAGAGGAAGCTGTAGAGGAAGCTGTAGAGGAAGCTGTAGAAAGAAGCTGTAGAGGTGGCTGTAGAGGTGGCTATAGAGGTGGCTGTAGAGAAAGCTGTAGAGGAAGCTGTAGAGGTGGCTATAGAGGTGGCTGTAGAGGAAGCTGTAGAGGAAGCTGTAGAGGAAGCTGTAGATGAAGCTGTAGAGGTGGCTGTAGAGATAGCTGTAGAGGACGCTGTAGAGGTGGCTGTAGAGGAAGCTGTAGAGGAAGCTGTAGAGGAAGCTGTAGAGGAAGCTGTAGAGGAAGCTGTAGAGGAAGCTGTAGAGGTGGCTGTAGAGGAAGCTGTAGAGGAAGCTGTTGAGAAAGCTGTAGAGGAAGCTGTAGAGGAAGCTGTATGTGAAGCTGTAGAGGAAGCTGTAGAAGTGGCTGTAGAGGAAGCTGTAGAAGAGCTGTAAAGGAAGCTGTAGAGGAAGCTGTAGAGGTGGCTGTAGAGGAAGCTGTAAAGGAAGCTGTAACGAAAGCTGTAGATGAAGCTGTAGAGGAAGCTGTAGAGGTGGCTGTAGAAGAAGCTGTAGAGGAGCTGTAAAGGAAGCTGTAGAGGAAGCTGTAGAGGTGGCTGTAGAGGAAGCTGTAGAAGAAGCTGTAAAGGAAGCTGTAAAGAAAGCTGTAGATGAAGCTGTAGAGGAAGCTGTAGAGGTGGCTGTAGAGGAAGCTGTAGAGGAAGCTGTAGAGGAAGCTGTAGAGGAAGCTGTAGAGGAAGCTGTAGAGGTGGCTGTAGAGGAAGCTGTAGAGGAAGCTGTAGAGGAAGCTGTAGGGGAAGCTGTAGAGGTGGCTGTAGAGGAAGCTGTAAAGGTGGCTGTAGAGGAAGCTGTAGAGGAAGCTGTAGATGAAGCTGTAGAGGAAGCTGTAGAGGAAGCTGTAGAGGAAGCTGTAGAGAAAGCTACAGAGCAGGTCTATTTAACTAATTTTACTCAGGGGTCAAGATGTTGAAAACAGGAATCCTCATGGGCCAGTAGTAATAGCTTTGCTTAGAAAGATGAAGAAAGTCCTCGCGGCGGGACAGCTGGCGAGAGACTGAGCTTCTTTCAGGTGGGCTGTATTGAGAGCAACATTCTGTAAAGGACCGCTAACCGATTCTGATGATGATCACAGTCGGTGTCACTGAGCTTCGGGCATTTTCCTACGTTCTCACTCCTCGGATGCAGCAGCCACTCAGTATATCTCGACAGTCGGTTTTCATTAAGTTACTTTGCTACTACTGCTACTTCCAGTGTTCTCGTTAATCTCTTCCTGAGGGAAGGATGAATATTAAAAAGGACGAATATCAAAACTACTTTTTTTTTTGGGAATTGACTAAAAATGGTTTAATGTGTTCCTAGCCTGAATTTGGCCTATCTAATCTTTAACAACAACGAAATGATACCCTGATATCGATCTCGAAAATCATTGCAAATACATTTGAATTACACATTAACTGTTGTACACATTCTTGCTTTACTATTGTGATAGACTTTTTACTCGTCCTGGTGACGTAAACATACTGTAGACCTACATAAATACATAAAAAAGATTTTAAAAAGAAATGTATCTTTTTGATGAAAAGAAAAGAATAATGGCTATTGCTTGGAAGGGAAGTAACCTTCCATTACGATGTCGGAGAATGTCACTTGCGGTGATTGATATCCTGCTAATTCATTAACATTTCTAGACGATTCACCAGCACGCTTTGTTGTTGAAAAAGTTGTCAAGTTTTGTTTGTTTCCTTGTGTGTGTGTGTGCTTTTTTTTTTTTTTTTTCGAACGTAATCAAATATATCGTAATCAAACGAATTCATACGCTGATTAATTATATCGATCTTTTTTGGCGGGTGGGGGTGCCATTTCTCGATGACAACTGACATTTTGGGCCAAGTGGACAGCCACTCCCTAAATTAGCACTTGGAACCGGACCATCGTCCTCTGTTTTTCTCGTCTGATGACTCGCTGGCCACGTCGTTGGGAGGACGAATACTGACTTTTTAGGCGAATATCAAGCAAACATTTCAACGTAAAAACATGATGAATTTCAAAAAGACGAATACTGTAATTGTCATTCTAGCCTATCATCATCAGTCAGCAGGTCCTTCGCAGAACGTCGCCCACGTTACGGCACGCCTGAGAGACTCTTTCTCTAGTCCATTTTTAAGCCTTATGTGCTTTCGTAGTCAATGCATCGTATTTGTCTTGTTTCTATGTTTGCGGCGGTCTGCCTTGGCCTCGTTTTCTGGAAACGGTACCCTCCGTCATCGTTCTATCAACGCCCCCATGACAATTAGCGTTGCCAAAATAGCTCAGCTTTCTGGCTTTTTATAAGCCAATTCTCGATGTTCAGATCACATGGAGCGTCAGCGATTTTCTTCTTTGTGGCTGTTACTGTCTTCTAAATTACAATAAATAAACTAGAGTGGGCAGTTCCTTCACTCATCGACCTTCCATCTCAGACAATACTTTAAAATATTTTATGGTACCTAGTTTTACTAGGCTGATGATTATTGTGGTGGCAGCCGCGGTAGCGCAGTTGCGTGAAGTTCGTCTGGCAGCACAAAGGTCTAGGATTCGAATTCGCATCCAGTCATATATTTCGTAGGAAATGTGTCCATGATCGACCCAGCCTACAGTGAAAACGAGGTAACGTTTTGGAAAGTAAAGGTGGCCGCCGTGCTGTTTACTGCATCTGCCAATGAGTGCCGATTATCTGTAAGCACAACGTACCAGATGCAGCACTGACGTTAAAAGAAACAGCCCTTTACTTGTCCCTGCTGTTCTGGCAGGCAAGGGCGCTGTGTGTTGCGCCGCTACCACTGTTGTTGCTGCTGTTACTACTAATATGTTACAGCTACTACTATTACTACTACTGCAACTATTACCACTGCTACTAACACTATTGATACCAACGCTGCTACTAAGTAAGGTGAAGTAAAGCCCCCTTATCCACGTCTTCAAGCGTATTATGGTGTACAGATCTAGTCCTAGTCCTTCTAGAAAGAAAAAATAAATCACACACACACACACCCACCCCACGTTCAATCTACTGTTAGCCGGTCTCCGGTTATATTTGCGGTCTGATTTATTTGCGCCACTTTCGTGGCTAAAGTTCTCTGGTATTGGCGCCGTCTCTGGGGTAAGTCCTTCTCCCCTCCAGGTCAGACCGCTCGTCATTTTTCCTGTTGTGTACAGATCTACTTTTCGTTTTTAAATCTTTCCTGGGCATATAGGGCTAGACCTATATTTTAAAGACCAGTCGGCACTTGGTGGGTGGTTTGGTCAACATCGCACCGACCATACTACTAATACCACCACTACCACCAACATTGCTACCGTAACCACTACCACTGGAGAACACCTCTACTACATCTACTATTTTTAGTACTACTTTACTGCTACTGCTACTGCTGTCACAACCGCTGCTACAAAACTACTAGTACTATTACTCCTACTCTTGCTGCTAGTGTTACTTCCAACATGTTCTTACTCGTGCACAAACAAAGTATATTTTTTTGCGAATCTTTCTGTACTCCTATTTTATGTTTGCAGGGCTTCACCAAAATCTACCAGCAGTTCTTTCCTTTTGGAGACCCTAGCAAGTTTGCCAATTTTGTGTTTAATGTATTCGACGAAAATAAGGTTAGTTCAATTGTTGTTTCTTGTTTTGTTTTTTCGCTCTCTGTATCTGTCAATCCCCCCCCCCCCTCTCTAAACCCCTTTCCTCTCTCTTCCAACATTGCTATTTGTATTGTCTGGAACCCCCCCTCCCCCCCCCCCCCCGCTCCTCTTTTCCCCGGTTTGTTATTTGCTATGTCGATACATCATGTTAATGCTGCCATTTCTAACGTCTGCTAGATATTTCATTGTTGTTAACAAATCAATCATTGCATTTTTCACTTATGTCTTTCTATCACGGCCAGCTCCAGATTGATAAGGCCGTACAGCTCGAACGGGGTTTCCCGTTCTTGTGTAAGAATTGAGTCCCTCTGCATCCACAGTTTTTATAGAGGAGATGTATACACAAATAAAACTACAGTTTCATTAATTTTCGATATATTTTTTAGAACTATACGTCATTTTTAAGGTAAATTGGTGTGCCAATTAAATATAACAATAAAGGCTATTACAGTCAAACAAAAATGCTTTTGCTCCAGTCAACATGAACATAAACATCAATAACGTTTAGATGTAAACTAAAAGTTGTTCCAACAAAAGTACAGAAATATCAGTGCTAACTCTTTGATTCTGAGAGGGCATTGCTGCATCAGAGGAGCGGAGGGGGGGGGAGGGGGGGGGAGTGACATTTGTACTTTATCAAATTTAGCGCATAAAAATACTGCTATGAAATATACACATGTCATACATAACATAAATATAAATGATGGTTATTATTATTATTAGTAGACTACTACAACATACAATTATACTGTTATTTAATAATTAGTAAACAAGCACAATCAGTATGAAATTGATATGTGCAATACTTTTTTTCACACAGAACAGTTTTCTTAACAGTACTTATAGCTGGCCGTGGTTTCTATCAATGATCTTTTTCCTTTTTTTTTTCCCTAGGGACACACACAACAGCGGTTTCCGGTTGGTCTATACATGGGTTCAATACAAGTCTGTGTCTTATTCAGTGTTTTTAACACAACCCTGCCCCCCCCCCCACCAAACCACACCCACCTTTCCCTCCTATTAGAGACCCTAAGGCGCCCATCCCTGTTATTTAAAAAAAACAGATTCAAAAGAGTAGGATAAATGAAAAATGACAAGCACGTTAACGAGAATGTGGAGCAGAAAGAAAAAAACATTCGTATATTTAAGTTTAAAATCGTTAATTAAACTTCTAACGGTGTATTTCCAAATTGCTGAGGATCACCTGTGTACAAGATGGAAGGTTAACATCAGAGAAACTCTACAACAGCATGATGTGCCTATGGTCGAGGCAGCCAGAAGAGCTAGAAACAGAACCTTATATCTCCCTCGACACCCACAGCGGTAAAAGAGGAAGTGAAGAATAAAAAGAAGACCTATGTACATTTTTCACTTTTTATTGATGCATGTTTCATCAAGCAGACATTTCCACAGCAGGCCCGCACTTTTTGTGAGTACCCGTCTGGACTGACTGATGTATTCTGCTCTGTTTGCAGGATGGCTTCATCTCATTTAGGGAATTTTTACAAGCTCTTTCTGTGACGTCTAGGGGGACGGTTGAAGAAAAACTGAAATGTAAGTTATTCCTCTCTCTCTCTCTCTCTCTCTCTCTCTCTCTCTCTCTCTCTCTCTCTCTCTCTCTCACACACACACACACACACACACACACACACATATACACATTCTTTCTCTTTCATTCCTTCCTTTTGTCTGTCTGTCTGTCTGTCTGTCTGTCTGTCTTTCTTTCTTTATGTTTCTACCTCTCCCATTTTCTTTCACACTTTCTGCAAAATTTTTTTCTGTTCCTCTTTCTCTCTCTCTCTCTCTCTCTCTCTCTCTCTCTCTCTCTCTCTCTCTCTCTCTCTCTCTCTCTCTCTCTCTCTCTCTTCTTGTTCATAACTTTCAGTCCTCCGTCTCTTTGTATCCTCTTCATATCTTCCCTCTCCTCAGCTCATTGTTTCTGTTTTTAATCCTCTCTTTTTTTTTGCATATGATTCTCTTTCTGTAAATTTCTCTCTGATCTTTTTGTTTTTACCTGCTACATCAATCTTTCATTTAAACTCTCACGGTCTCTCTCCCCTTCTGTCTGTCTGTCTGTCTGTCTGTCTGTCTGTCTGTCTGTCTGTCTGTCTGTCTGTCTGTCTGTCTGTCTGTCTGTCTGTCTGTCTGTCTGTCTGTCTGTCTGTCTGTCTGTCTGTCTGTCTGTCTGTCTGTCTGTCTGTCTGTCTGTCTGTCTGTCTCTCTCTCTCTCTCTCTCTCTCTCTCTGTCTCTCTTTCAGTGTGAATGCATGTGTTTGCAAGCTGTCGTGTCTGTACGTTTTCGTGAAAAGTACGCCACCATGTAAGTTCGCAAACGGGGTGTGCGCGAGTAGAATATACCGCTTCGGATGGACCGTATTTGCGGGTTGTGAATATGGGTTATGGATGTAGCTGTGGATTTGACACTGAAATGACTGTGGATTAACCGTGGATTGGTCTGTGGGTTGACTGTGTGGGTTGGCTGTGATGTAGGAAATGTGGATCTACCGTGGATCTAGATGTGGATCTGACCGTGGATTGAACGCGGAATGTGGATGACCTGTGGATGTAGGCTGGGAATTTTGACGCTGTTGATGCGGATGGGAGTTGTCGATGGTAACGTGACTTTTGGAGAAAAAGTTCATAAAATCAGGAGCGACATCAGATCTGTCCGACCATATTGTGGTTTGGTGTTTGATAGTTGCGGGCCCCTAGCCCCTGTAAAGATTTGTTGTCAACGAAACGAAACTCTCTGCAGATGTTTCTCTAGACGGCGCCCCTGTCTTGACTATTTTCAAAAGTCATAGACCGTTTACTAACCGACTCCTTCCATGGTAATTACGATAACACTGTTTTCAGATGTCACTACGCGAATAATTTTGTCAGCGAACTTCTCGTTACATTCGTTGTCATAACTCAGTAGACAATCCTTCTTCTTTTCTTTCTTGCTTTCCTTTCTTCTTCACACACACACACACACGCACACACACACAAGGTTCAAATTTGGAAAGTATTCAGCTTCCCTTTAGCAACATACAGATGTGAGTTGTGGACTATCTCCCAGTCCTTAAGGAAGAAAATGCGGACTGTTGAGCTGCAATTCTATAGAAAAAATTCTCAGAATACCGTGGACAATAAAAGAGAAGAAAGGCTGACATTCCAAGGCGGATTGGAAAAATAAAAATAATAGAGGCATGGTACCAGGAAGGAGGTGCAAGGGCTGACCAGCAGGAAGATAGACTCATTATGTAAATAACTCCTTGAATATGAACGTGCAGGAGGTGGGAGAGCTAGCGATAGAAGGAGTTTCTTTCAGGCAGACCATGATGAGACCGACGTTCTGAAAAAAAAAATGGTACATGATGATGATAATTTTGTAATAATATTAATACGTAATTTCACCAACATGCTGAATCTACAGGTTTAATTTTAAAGATACTACAGACTAATGCGGATAACAGTATATTTCTCACGCGATGGAACATCATATACAGATTTCAATATTAAAGAAAGACGGAAGCAGAGGCCAATCAAAATGTAGTGGAAGTTGTCTAATAGACATGTTAGCCAACTTAAATAAAAGGGAAAATCACACGAATACATTAATGTTTTATTTGCTTTAATGAATCTTAGTAGTTTTCCAAAGATTGTATATTATGTTTCGAGTCATCATCATCATCATGTGCCCTGCCAGTTGGCGTAGGCGCTCATGCATCTCCACAGATCAAGATCCCTGGTTGCCTGGAACAGCTCTCTTGATGTCCCCCCATGCCATCGTTTCAGCCCATCCAGCATCATTTCTCTGGATCTGCCTCTACCCCTCTTTCCACTGATCTTTCTAGTTGTCACGATGTTTTCCAATGCCTCTCTTCTCATTACGTGGCCAAAGAACAGTGTTTGGATCCTTCTTGTTGTTGAATATAGAGATCAACTTTCATTAGCTTCTTTAAAACAAGCCTTGTTATCTACTCTTTCCTTCTAAGGTATTAGCAACATTCGTCTCAGAATCCACTTCTATGTTGTTTCAAAATTCTTTCGTTATTTGTTCACTGACATTCCCAGATTCGCTGCCGTACAGCAGAACAAGTTCTATGTAACATTTTAGCAGTCTCTTTCTGATATTAAATTAGAGAGCATTATTGCATAATACATTTCTTTCGAGTACTAGTTTCGAAAGCCAAATTTACACAGTTACCGCATGATTACCACACGATGTCCCCAACAGAGTGTTAATTTTGTGTTGGCTTGTAAAATTGCTAACAAGTCTATAAATGTCCAAAATTGTTTGCGAAAGGTGAGGTTTACTAGTGAAACGAGGAGTTCTGCGCAAAACTGAAGACTTATGGGAACCCCATATTTCAGCTGCTCAGCAAAACACTCCGTAATATCATGATAACTTGACAAGACAAAAATGTTTACTTAGCTTTCCCTGGCGTGTGTAAACCACATGTGTGATTCTGAATAGGCCTCTGAAGTAATAAGATATTCTTTGCTAGCGATCACAATCTTAGGGTTTTTAAAAGCTAACATAGCTACGTGGTCCCAGGTTGTATCCTTAATGGAACATAATGGCTGTCTGTTCTCGCGGTGTCTAGCATGATCATCTGAAAACGTCGTCCGTATAAACATCTCTTCTCGGAGCGTATATCTGAAGTCAGCAACTTACGGCACGTGTGTCAAGTGCGGGAGTAGGAACGATTTGCAGCTGCACGCTGAGTAGTAAATTATACACAGGCGTTAAGCGGATAAACATAATTCAGTCGGAGCAATATTTGCTTTCTAAAAATCAAATCATTTTGTTTTGATAATTTCTGTATATACAGCTATGCAGGACGTAACTGGTAATGTGTCAATTTAAATAATGCTTTCAGATAAATATCTTTGAATTACATTTTAAAAATGAAATAAAGCACAGAAATAAAATGTAATTTTTTTTCCACCTCACATTAAATGAAATTTTAGCTAGCAAACTAGGCTGGACAGCAAGACAATTTGCATGCCACAGTTGTGAAATACGCGTGAGATATAAAAAAGCTTTTATTGCATCATTTCCGCACTTAGCTATACCAAGCGGTCATCTATATCATACAAATATTAACTTACATGTATGTTTTTAAAGCAGTGTGCAAGTCTGACGTACACTTCAATGACTTCCTATTTGTTTGAAAAGTTTTTTCAGGTATGTCAATAATATAACAAAAAATAAAAGCAATCAGATGTTACTGTAGCGCTTCGTATACCAGAAACAACGCTCCAGCCACAATTGTCAGATTATAAAACCTCTGAGCAGCAGACGCTGCATTACGCTGCATTAGCTGAATTATTACATCACATTTAACTGCTATATATATATAAAACATGTTTTGTTAGCTCCTGGTGAAGCACAAAACAATTGCCACAGTTTAAGTGGACCGCGGCTGCATAAAGTTGAGGAACACTGGTTCAAAGGAAAGAAACAATGGTTATATTTAAGAAGAAACACACCCCAAATTGTGATATTACAGTCGAAGGCAAAGTGCTTACGCAGATCAATATGTTCAAATATTTGGGAGCTAGTTTTGATCATCTGATGGAAGATGTGCGAAGGAGATTAAAGCAAAGGTAGCATTTCGAAAGGTGAAAAATATTGTATGCAACAGATTTGTGTCATTAAACATTAGAAACAGAGTAGTGAATTGTTATTCTGAAACTTTGCTGCTATGTGACTGCAAAAGCTTGCAATGTGAATGATCGCATTCAAAAGAACTTGCAGGCCATGGAGGTCTTGTTTCTGAGACACATGCTGTGTGTAATGGGGGATATTTTCACCCACTTATTGCACTGTGAATATTTTCTTCTTCTTTGAGTTCACCAGCTGTAAACTCTGGCGAAAAGTTCTCGTTCTTCGTCCACTTCTGGATTTTAGTTTTGCTACAGGACTTCGGTGTTGCCTGCACATCCGTTTTCCTGATCTGGCTTATATGTATGCAGACTGTTGGTTCTTCGCCTCTTAGGCAGATGTGCTCAAACTTCAAAGAATTCTGCGGATACCGCTGACGGCTAGAGTAACTAACAAAAATTCCTGGAAACAGCTAGTCAAATTAGAAAACAGTATAAGTAAAGTAAATTAAAGACCCCTTTCGATGCTTTCATCGCATATAAGGCTAGACGGCCGCCTTTACTTCCCAGGACTGCACCTGTTACCCACTCAAACCTGGGTTGACCTGGGAGTGTGGTCATTTTCTGAAGAAGAAGCCTGTCTTTATCGGGACCAGAACTTACGACCTTTCGCCATCATGTAGGGTGCCTTTACTTCGCAGGGCAAGTGGCAGACGATCGCCTGGCCTAGGTTCTGCAAACGGATGGAGCACGAGAGGTAGGAAAAAACAAAAATTGGGACTTGGCTGAAAACAAATCCTGAATAGATCTTGGATATTTTATTGTGCCTAGCAGCATCTAGATGCACAAAGGTTAATGGGTTAAGTTAATTACAACCTGTCTTGGTGATATCGATAACGAAGGCCTAACTTGAATCTGTTTCATTTGCAGGGGCCTTTAGATTATACGACCTTGACAAT